GCTGATACTGCATCCTTGCCTGGATACCATCCAGCTTCGATACTGCATCCCTAGCCTGACACCGTATCCCAGCCTGATATCGTATCCCAGCCTGACACTGCATCCCAGCCTGATACTGTATCCTGTTGATACTGCATCCAGGTTGATACTGCATCCTTGCCTGATACTTCATCCCAGGCTGATACTGTATCTAGCCTGACACTGCATCCTAGCCTGATACTGCATCCTAGCCTGATACTCTGTATCCCAGCCTGATACTGTATCCTAGCCTGATACTGCTGTATCCCAGGCTGATACTGCATCCTGGCCGACACTGCATCCCAGCCTGATACCGCATCCCAGCCTGATACTGCATCCCAGCCTGACACTGCATCCCAGGATGATACTGCATCCCAGCTGAGCATATATCCTGCCTGATACTGCATCCCAGCCTGATACTGTATCCTAGCCTGATACTGCATCCCAGCCCGATACTGTATCCTACCCTGACACCGTATCCCAGCCTGATAATTGCATCCCAGGATGATACTGCATCCTGTTTGATACTTAATCCCAGGCCGATTCTGCATCCTAGCCCGATACACTGCATCCCCAGCCCGATACTGCATCCCAGGCTGGTTACCTCAGATCCAAAATGACATCCCAGCCTGATACCGCATCCCAGCCCATCAAAATCCCAGCCGACAATTGCATCCTAGCCTGATACCGTGTATCCAAGCTTGATATTGCATTCTAGTTTGACATTGCATTCAGATAGTCGGTATCTCTAGGTTGACATTGTATCCCGATATCATTCCAGTTTGATACGTATTCCAGCCTGACACTGCATCTCCAGCCCATACCAGATCCAGTTTCCCGATATCCCAGCCTGATACTGCATCCCAGCCTGATACCGCATCCAGGCTTATACCTGTGATCCCAGGCTGACACTGTATCCTAGCCTGATACTGCATCCCAGCCTTATAATAATCCAGCCTGCTGATACTGTATCCTAGATGATACTGCATCCTAGGCTGATATTATATATCCTCAAGCCTGATAACAATCCCAGCCTGACACTGCATCCCAGCCTGATACTGCATCCTAGCCTGATACTGTATCCCATCCTGATTATTTGCATCCTAAATGATACTGCATCCCAGATGATACTGGTATCCTAGCCTGATACTGCATCCTAGGCTGATTCTGCATCCTAGCCTGGATACCGTATCCCAGCCTGATACTGTCTCCTAGGTGGGCTGACACTGTATCCCAGCCCGGATACGTATCCCAGCTCCGATACTGCATCCCAGCCTGACACTTAAATCCCGGCTGATGACTCGTATCCCAGCCTGATACCGTATCCCAGCCCGATACCGCATCCCAGCCTGGGATACTGCATCCCAGATGACATTGCATCCTAGGCTGATACTGCATCCCAGCCTGATACTGTATCCCAGCCCGATACCGTATCCCAGCCCGGATGACTGTATCCTAGCCTGACATTGCATCCCAGCCTGACACTGCATCCTAGCCCGATACTGCATCCCAGGCCGACTGCATCCCAGCCCGATACTGTATCCTAGCCTGATACTGCATCCCAGCCTCGATACTGTATCCTAGGATGATAC